CTTTACACAAATTTTTTCCGAGGCACCGTTAACGAGTTATTAACGAAAAACAGTGACCAATGAGAATCGAGTACGGCTGACGCGAGGCGGCCCAGCTAACCAACGCGCGAAGCCCAGTTCCGCTCATTGGCTCGATCACCTCGCGCCAGCTGAGCTCGCCACTCATTGGTCGCTGTTTTTCGTTAATAACTCGTTAACGGTTAAGAACGAACGAAGACACGATTGTTGAACAATTTTTGACAGGAGGATCGTCGGTGGCGTAACTTGTCGATTCATTCTTTTTTTTTATCTCGTAACCCACGGTGCCTTTCTACCCTATAAGATGCAGTAATTTTTCACGGAATAATCAGTCGAGATTTGTCGATTTTTTCAAACTAATTTGAATGTCTCTACGATTCGAAATGAATCGCATCGTGAAATGCGACTTTTCAGATTTAATTTAAACCCCACAAATGTAACGAAGAAAATATTTTGAGGATGAAAATAGTTTATTTACTGCTCCAAGTGTAGAAAACAGATGATTCTTGCCGCTTTTTCCATTAGCTACAATATAAATTCCGGCACGAATTATCTGTTCTGTAGAACCTACATATAGCGCCATCCTTCGTGCCGGCGAAACGCTGAAACTGTTCGACGATTTAGAAAGAAATTTAATTGGAAAAAATGGAAAATGATTTATTAACTTCGAAACATTTTAGCATAAAAGAATTCGGTATATGGTATTAGGGGAAACAAAAATTTTAACTTACATATTTCCTATGAAAATACCGGAATTCTTCCAAAGTCGTAACACCACACTTTTAATCACGTTATCTTTGATAGTTTGTCAATATCGGGTGAACAAAATTTATTTAATTACGTACAAATGTAAATTATTCACCAATCGTTAATAATAATCGTGCCACTGATCTGGCACATGTAGCGCAGATTTGAGTGAGCGATATCAAAGCCTTCTTGCGGAGAAAAACTGTAGCAGGCTTTGATGGTCCGTGCAGCGCCACTTAAGAAAGTGGCAAAACACTCAAACTATTCGCCAAACCACGGGATCCGTAGTACAGATTGCAATATTGCGCGCAATACACTTTTCTATCCGAGGGTCTGAATTACCGACTCTGCAGAACATTCTGTGATATCATAGATCGATAATACATTGGATATGATTTACCGACTATGACCATAGTCGGTAAATCAGAAACTGAGACAGCAAAATGTACAGACGCGGTATCTGTACGATCCTAAATCTATGGTAAAATACTACTGTTACATGTGCTTGGTACGTGTGGATATTTTCCAATACCATAAAAGTGAAAACAAAAAAGAAAACACGAACGTGTACTAAACTAATGGTGCTAGTTTCACATTTTTTAACAGAAATGACAGGTGTTGCTATCTAGCGGAGGTACATGAAACTAAATCGTTGAACGGTTTCAGCGTTTCGGATGGCGCTAAATGTAGATACTGCAGAACAAATGATTCTTGCCGGAATTTAAATCGTTTCTTATGGAAGAAGCGGCAAGAATCATCTGTGTTGGATATGTGCAACAATAAATAAACTTCATAGTATGTATCGCACAAACGCAACATAAAAATACTACTTGCGCGAGTCTTTTCTTAGCTGAAAATTATCCGCGTGAAGGAAATGTTGTAATCGGACGTAAGATCATTGACTAACAGACTAAATATATACATATAGGTTGTTATGCCTAACTGAGAACAGTGAAATATCTCGAAACACATCGAAGCTACGAAAACAATGTTTATACAAAAAGTGTTCAGTATAAAGAGATGTTTTAGATAGCGTCGATAATTTGTTTATTCACATAATGGTGAATGATATTTCAAGGACAAACTGATTTTTTTAAATGGGACTATACATTTTTTTAGTCATATTACGATGGCTGACTTCAATGCGAATCCAATATTGTATTATTTCTTTCAAATAATCATAAATTAGAAGCAATTAAATTTGCAACAGCGGGAGGGCATAAACCCTGTATATAGACTAAGATATATCGGCGATTTGATTGGCTCGTCGTAGATGGCGGAGCAAATTCGTACCCAATTGGTAAAGCTCGTTATCGCATATTACACCAAATTAAATATTGATTAAACCACATGAAAGTCGTAGTTACAACTACGTTCTACACCCGCAACCGTCACGTGTATATGTACCAGAGTTCAACATTGGCAAAGCGAACTGCAAGTATTCGTCCTTAAATATTGGGTTGGCAACTAAGTAATTGCCGATTTCAGTTATAGATGTTTCTCACTCCAATTTTTATGATATCCGTAAATGTTATATTATAAAATTATTATTATTATTATTATTATGTTATTTTTTATTATCCGTGAATGTTAGCAACTGGACAAATTGAATGCAGCGGTCAAGGAAAAGCGAGCAGAATTGGTCAATCGTAAAGGTGTCATTTTCCAGCAGGACAATACTAGGCCGCACACGTCTTTGTCCACTCGGCAAAAATTGATGGATATTGGTTGGGAATTGATGTTACACCCACCATATAGCCCCGATCTCGCGCCATCGGATTACCACTTATTTCGATCCCTGGACAACTCCCTTCGTGGTGAAACTTTTAACGATGACGCTGTAAAATCTCACTTAACTCAGTTTTTGGCCGAAAAGGATCAGACTTTCTACGAGCGTGGAATTTTCAAATTGTCAGAGAGATGGCAAAAGGTCATCGAACAAAATGGAAAATACATTACAGATTAAACTTCGTTCCAAGTAAAAAAATTTTTTATTTCATTGAACAAATCGGCAATCACTTAGTTGCCAACCCAATATTTCACCTATCACGAAACAATCTATAAGGCGTCGTGAACTGCGTTCATCGTGACGCTCGCGAGAAAACGTGAAAGTCAATCCGATTTAATATTGTTACGACGACTTTCTTCTGGTTTCGAACGACTTCCCGCGGCACAATCCGATTCATCCAGCTAAGACCCATTCGAAAGCCGACGGTACGCAGAACGGTACGCAGAACGGAACGAAGACAACAGAGACGATTATGCAATAATTGTGGTTTCAATTTTTCCTCGTTGCGGTTGAAGCACTATAACACGGACGAGATTGTTCTATGGTAACAATACAGGAATATTTCATTGTCAATTTTTCTCGGTCAGCGGATTTCATTTCAGATTGGACTGCGCCGCGAGTACTGCGCGTTTCTTTCGATCATCGAAGCCAAGTAAGAAAAGAATCCCAAACGGGATACTATTTTTCTTATTTTTTAAAATGACGTTTATATATATATATATTTCTTGAAACTTGTTACAGATCTTTGGTTTCATCTATATTTTATCTATATATTTATTTAAATATTTATATTTATATCTTTATAGATATCTTTTTCTATATAAATGTTCAATTTATGTCCTTAGCTTAGAGCATGGGTGTCAAACTCGCGGCCCGAGATGAACATTTTTGATGTCAAGTATCAGAGGACGTAAACAACAATTTAACTTTATATATGTTTATTACAATGTACTAGTCAAAATAAAAATATTTGTTTCTATGAACATTGATTTTTTTTTGCAGCCCACCTAAAGTTAAGCATTGTTTATTTGGCCCAAGTTAGCTTTTGAGTTTAACACCCCTGGCTTAGAGGCACTTTAGGCTACTTAATATGTCTAAAAGAAAGATGTAAGAGAATAGTTCTAATTTTATATTTGGATATCAGGTTTGTACTTAGCTTCGATAGGAACTAGTTAACCTATTCACTGCAACGCAAATTTAGCGCGTCTTGGGTGCCACGGTATTATTTTGAAGAAAACACAAAGTTTTACAAAATATAATATTAAGTTACTGATACAATATTGCAATAGCTTTAATAATAAAAATTGATAATCAATATGTTCTCTACACTATATTATTATATTATTACATATAATATTACATATATTATTAATATAATATAATCAATTATATTACATATTATTATACATATATATATATATATATATATTATTAATATAATATAATCAATTATATTATATATTATTATTATATATATTATTATATTATACATTTTTCATTCGTCCTTTCTAATAGTTCCTAACTCAAACAGCCATTTGTAGCCAATCTAAACTTGCAGCACCCACTACGAGATATCTCGTAGCTGGCAGTTTTGGTACAGACGCTTACTGCGAGATATCTCGTAGTTGGCAGTCAATGGGTTAACCTCTTGCACTCGAGCGGTGACTCTGAGACGCCGCTAAAATTGTGCATAAAATGTATTGGCTTGGGGAATAAGTTCGTAGCGTTTTTATATTTTCTTTTATTTTACCTCCTGCGGACTTATTCCCCAACCTAATACTTTGTCATATAAAATGGAAACACTGTAAGTCGAAAAATCGCATTGATTGAAAAAGGTTAATATTGCGCTAATAAAACACAGTCAGTAAAAAAAGTCACCACTGAACACGATCGTTCTAAACAAGGCACCTACCTGTTTAACAGTGCGTAGACACGAAAAACCCTAGAAAGAAGTCGCCGACCGCTATGTTTACGCTGCGAGCGATCGCAGGCAGGAGAAAACGGCAACGATTTCGCAGAACATCGGCGGAACATCGCATCGATATACCTCAGCTCCTATCGGCAAAACCTGCGCAGAATCTCGCCCTATCCCCGCATCGCCGTTTCCATCGCCTCGTGAGCTACTTTAGACTCAACGTTGCGCTACTTACTTCTGTTTCGCGCGGCTCTTACCGTCGGTCGCCGCGGAAAAGAAAACAAATTGTTTTGCTGCGTGTATCATTATAAAAGGCGTTCCATGGCGTCCGGTCGCGTGCACGGGCGCGTAACTGCGTGCCGCGCGGCCAAGAGGTGCCGCCGGAACGGAACTTTCTACGGCGCATCGTCGGCGTGTGAACGTACCTGCCGAGGACGACCGATGGTAAACGAGGAACGCGGCGATCTCGTATCCGAGCGGCGTCGCTCGCCAGGTGGAGTCCCCCCACGCGCGGTCGGCGGAACGGTACGGCTACAGTTCGTTCCACCGGTTGGTTCGCTACGACTCGAAAGCTGCGCCGGTGCAGAGAGAGAGACAGGTCTCGACGGTATCGCACAGTGACACGGTGGTCGCGGTAACCGCGACGCGTACATACCGCGATGATTACCTGTGAAATATCAGCGGGGTGCCGTGCCCGTGCGTTCGATTAAACAAATTCCGCGATCGTTGATCGAACCGTCGACGGAGCCGTAAAAGACGTTGGCACCTCGCGACGATTCAAATTCGATTCGAATTTGAAATTCGAACGCGGAGAGCGGAAATCGCGGCCGAGCGCATCCATATAATCTGCGCGACGGTGAAATGTCGAACGGCCGATGATCGCCGAGGACCCGAAAGCATGAACCTGTGGGAAAATCGTGCGGGATCGGGGCTCGTTCGCGGCGAGAAAACGGGCTACGTCGCGGACAACCATGACGGCGCGTCGTATCGTTTAGAAGTGCGCTACCCACGTTCGCCGTCCGAGATCGATAAACCGTAGTGTCACTGAAAATGAGCGTTCGCTTGCGCACCAGGAACTTGCGACTGGCCCGTGGCTCGCGAACAGGACACCGATGATCCGGACAACAACGGCGCACCGTTGACTGGTGTCTCTCGCTCGCGGCGACGGCGGTGTGGCAGTGGCGACGGTGACGGCGAGGGTGTACGGTGCGACGGTGGTGGCATGGTTGACGAGGACGACGGTGAAGCGTGTCGTCGGTACGGGTGTTGATCAGGGGGGAGGGGGGGCTCCGATGGTATATTCCGAGCGGAATCGCCGTGTGGTCGCGGATATTCGGGCTGCGACGAGACCTCCTCCGTCGTTCCTTCGTATTCGCGTAGGACGACGAAACGATCTCGGCGTTGATTAGCCTGCTCTCGTCGCGGGCGGCCTGGCGGCTATCGATTTTATTCCGTGCTCTGCTCGGAAGATTATCGACGTTCTTATTGCATACTGGCTGACACCGCCGCCGGAGATGCGCACCGATTCCGTCAGGATGTGTCCCCGGTGGACGGTTTCCGGCCGTCCGTGAGGCCGACGAGATTCCGACGGCGAATCCGAGGGGAGGGGGGGGCGACTCTCGCGACGACGCCGACGAGAGTGCACGCGTTTCAAGGAACGGCCGTCCTGTAGGATCGACGGTGGTGGTGCGTGCGTGCGTCCGCTGGGGAACATGGCGTGCGGAGCGAACGGCACGATCGCCTAACCGCGATCGCGGCACGTCGATCGGATCGATCGGAGAACTGTGTGGAAACGCGTGTGCGCCGCCACGAGGCCCGCTTGGTGCCCGATCGAGAATGATATAAGGGAAACAAGTGGCCGCGAGGACGAGGGGACGCCGACACCGCCGCGGAGTGGAAAGGACCGAGAGAAGGAGGAGGAGGAGGCAGGAGGAAGGATATCCGAACGAGGGAACCGGAGACAGCTTCGAAAGAAAGCCCGATAATGAAGGAGCACGGAAGCAAACTTCCGGCGGAGCAGCCCGCGAAGATTCTCAAGTCCCTGCTGAAGAAGCCCGGCCAGTCGAAGACGCGGTCGCAGAAGAACCGTGTGGTGATCAACGAGAAGCTGAACGAGTTCTTCGCGGCCGATTACATAATACTGATCAAGGAGGAATGCTGCGCGGACTACGAGGAGGACTGCGACTGCTGCTGCCAGGAGCACGAGTTCCTGCGGCTGGGCAACTGCAAGGAGTGCAGGGCCGAGCTGAACCTGCACTTCGGCATCGCGGACGACAACGATCCGCGGTACCGGGACGTCGAGAGGGATCACGAGGAGATCACGCTCGGGGGAGACGCGCCGAGGGACAAGGGTGGCTGCGACGGCGAACGGTTCGGCTGCGGGGAGCTGCACGCCGAGGACGTCGAGGAGGAGGAAGAGGAGGAAGAGGAGGAGGAGGAGGAGGAGGAGGAGGAGGAGGAAGAGGAGGAAGAAGAGGAGTACGAGGGAGAAGAATGCGAGATAGCGGACGAGGGGGAGGAGGTCGTCGAGGACGCGACCGAGGGTGCACAGAGGAAGAAGGGTAAGAAAGCGGAGCCGAGGGAGATCGAGCTCAAGGAGACGGATCACGTGGCCAGGAGCGTGCCGAGGGAGAAAAAGACGAGGGCCGACGAGTTCGGAGCGGACCCGAACCGTAGGCAAATCCCGGAAACGAAACCGTGCGGCGTCTCGACGTCGACGCCGACGACCCCGTCCGTGGCCTCCTCGTCCCCGCCGACGGAACCACCGCCGCCGCCGCCTCCGCCGCCGCCTCCGAGGCCGCAATCAACCTTGGACAGGTCGATGTACTCGTCGCCGCTTCCGCGCCAGGAGCCGCAACAGCACGAGACCCTCAGCCCACCGGAGGGTTACAAGGACGTCTGCTCGAACGGAGAGGTCCCCGACGCGCCGGCACCCTGCCTCAGGACCTCCTCGGATCATGTTCGGTGTCGTAGACCGCCAGGTGAGCGTTGCGCAACTCGCGCCGCCTTCTGCGACGCTCCCGATGCACGTAACACGCTCGGAAAACGTGAGACGCGTCGCTGCGAACCGTCTACAGCAGGGGTGTCAAACTCAAAAGCTAACTTGGGCCAAATAAACGATGCTTAACTTTAGGTGGGCCGCAAAAGAAAGATCAATGTTCATAGAAACAAATATTTTTATTTCGACTAGTACATTGTAATAAACGTATATAAAGTTAAATTATTGTTTACGTCCTGATACTTTTGACATCTATATATTATCTTTCCTATTTCGGGAGAAATTTTATTGACCGAGACTATTTCTATTTTATTTTTACTTTGCGTCGGATATATATTGACTGGGCCGCAAAAATGTTCATCTCGGGCCGCGAGTTTGACACCCCTGGTCTACAGGGTGTCTCCGAACAGGTGGCACCGAGGGCCGAGACCGTGCGAGGATGGAATTTACGCTGGATGCGTCGTTCTTGGACACTGCAATTTAGCATTCGCGTGCGCAACAGTCGCCTGTCTTAAAGGGGAGCTTCGTTTAGGCCGCTCCGAACCATCCGTCTTTCGCGGCTGTCCTTTGTAAAACTGGCAAAGGGTTGCTTCTGAAACTTTTAGAACGATTTGACGATTATTTTATAAACGCAGGATCCGATCGCCTGTAGAATTGAATTTCTGCCGGAGACTCTCGAGTCTCGTGATCTTGAAACTTAACGCTTGAAAGAAGCAAATTGTTTAGCTTTACATTTTTTAATTTCTTCTGGCATTAATAAATTGCGTACGAGGATTTTTAAAATACTAAGAATATTTTCCTGGGGTACTAGACTTTGTGCAACATATTTAAATATTGATAACAACGAGCAATATGCAGTAAATTCTCCCGAATTTTCCTTCGGCTTGCAAACGAAAATGGACAATTTTTAACATGTTTAATGGACAATTAAATGTTAAATAGACATGTTAAATGGACAATTTATAACAATTTAACAACACGTTTTTATAATTACTGACAATCGGCGACTATAAGAATGAGCCGCGAGGCCCGACTAATCGTATCTCCTCTTCCCAAATCGTCCATCTTTGTTTCTCAAACTGAAGAAAAACTACGAAGAATTTACCGTATCCCGATTTGTTGTCGTGTACGCGATCGAATCGCACGTTTGCATCCTCTATGAATAAAACGTACGGTTCCGACGTCGTCGTAAAACGGTTAACTATTTTTATAAAGTCGACGAACCCGCGAAACCCCTTCATGAAAGCATAAAAATCGATCGGTCGCATCGATTCGGGGACACCCTGTAGCCGTGTCGATTGTCCGTTCGTCGGGGAATCGACGCGAATTGAAGCAGCGTCGAAGAAAGAAGAAGCTGTTTAATTGAAGCCCGAGCCCCGAGAATGTTCGCACACGGTCGTTGCGCGTGTTTCCCACGTATTTAAAACGCAGGCCTCTGTTCGCAAAGCCGTATCGGAGCGTCGGTGTTACGGGACCGTGTGCCTGTTACACCGTGGCTGGTAGCCTCCCGAGATTAATTTAGCAGCCGGCCGAGCGGCTCGTTATTATTTTCGTTTCGCAACGGTGAGGTAACTTCTTTAACGCGATCAAGTATCTATTTAACGCGCGAACATCGATCGCGTATTTGCGGCGTGTTCCCGAACGTTGAAATGTCGATGCACACACGGCGGCGCAGGCAGGCCGCCTCCTCTCGCATACTCGCCGGAAGTATAGCGTAGCGTAGCGTGACTCCGGTGTTTTCACGGTGCGTACGCGACAAGGACGCTGCGGGTATACATTCCTGGGAAAAAAAGATGATCACCCTCGCCTACGCGCGAAGGAGGCCTCTTTTGTTCAGCGCGCTCTGTCTACCGTGTGTGCCCCGGCCGACGGCAGCGATTTTATTAAAAAGAAAATACTAATGACATTTTGCAGCGGCGCCGGTCGAGGAGCGATCCGCGTACGATCGTCAGAAGCCCGAGGACGAGGACGCAGCCGGCAATGGGAAAAAAGCGAACGAACAACCGCAACGAACGACGTCCACCGGTGTGTGTTTATGCGTTTCCTTTTCCTTGCCTACATCCTGCAGAAATTGCAGCGGTGCCCCTAACTTTCGCAACGCCGGTAATCTATTATTAGAGCCGAGATACTTATGCAAATCCAGATTTGCATACATAGATTCGGGAAACCTGACTATTCGAACGGACTGTGTCCACTTTTCCTCGTTTTCTTTTCTTTTTCTTTGCAAACGGTTCCAAACAAATTAAAGAGAATAAAACGAAACTGCGCCCGGCGGTGCTGAATTTTTCACGTCGCTCTACGCCGCATACGAATGCCCGGCCATTTTTACGCGCTGCGAATGCCGCGCGAAGTGCCGCGCGGTCCGGTTTCAGCGCGCAAATGAAATATCGCTTTATCGGCCGAAGCTTTCGCGAAAGGGACGGGACACCGCGTCCACTCCGATCGACTTCTGGGCCCTCGAAATGCGCATTAACGGAGGGATTTTATCGACCACCGTGTGTCTGGCCGCGCGGCGTGGTTCATTGACAGCGCGAGCCGGGTCTATTTAAGCGGTTCAATTGCTAGGAATATGCGAATATGGCCGGCGTCCACGGTGAAAGTAGAAAATATTGCGCTGACCGGACGGTTTCGTTTGCAGAAGCACGGCATCGGTACCTCGTCGAGACGATAACCATGACGACCGTGACGGAGCGGCGGATCGTGCGCGAGATCAGCGAGGAGAAGGAGTGCATCGTGCAGCGGGAATGCGTGGAACGAGCCGGGGACGAGAAGACCGACAAGAAGACCGTCTCCGACAGGATCGCGCTCGAGGCTCGGGCGAACGATGCCGCGAACCCGATCGACTGCGCCGGAGGACGCGGCGAGGAAACGTCGTCGTCGGGCCTCGGCGAGGCCGACGGCCGCGATGAAACGGTGGCAACGAAGCCGATCGTCGGAAGCGACACGGCGAAGGACGCCGAGGAGGATCGTCTCGGTCGCGGCGAGGCGGCGTCGGATATGAAGGAGCTCTCCCTAGTATTTAAGATCGGCAACTCTTCTCTGGCGAACAACAGTCTGAAGCCGAACTCCGCCGTCAGACAGTTGTTCCCGAACCCGAAGTTCGTTTCGCCGCCGCCGGCACCGCTCGGTAAGTTGTCCGTACCCTCGGCGAGCTCGCCGGACGACTCCCAAGGCGATCATCGTTCGGTTTCGAGCGAGAGCATGCGCGTCCTTGACCCCGTAAAGCGATCGAAAACCTTCGACAACACCACGAACTCGTTCGACGACGACGCCGACCTGATCAAGAGAACGATCGAGAGGAACACGCTCCGTCGGAGTCTGCTCGACAAGTATCGCTCCAGCTCCCGCAAGAAGAACCCGCCGTCGAAGCACCTGTCCCTGGAGGAGCGGATCCGCCAGCTGACCTGCGTCGACCAGGACGAGGAGGACTCGATCTGCTCGAACCTGATGGAGAACACGGACTCCGTGGCGAGCGCGGACATCGACGTCGATCTCTTGGAACGAGACTCGCCCTCCGGACAAGAGGAGACCGTCGCGTTCCCGGCGACGAGGTCGCTGGTTCGTAACGCGACCACCACGGTCGAAACTACCGTATCACCGACCTTGACGCCGACCGTGACGCCCGCGCCGACGCCGACGTCGACGCTGCCGCTGCCAACAGCGATGCCGCCGATCGTCCCAGGATTCGATCTTTCCGACGCAACGATCCCGTCGACCGGGAACTCGATGGCGGCCACGTTCCTGGCGTCGAACTCCTCGTTCACGTCCGTCACGACAACGATCACGGCCTCGAATTATCATAAGCAGAACTCGCTGGGCGGCGGTAGCGGCGGGGGCGGTGGCAGCAGCAGCAGCAGCAGCGGCTCGTCGACCACCATCTCGGATCAGTCGCACAATCACTCGACGTACAAGAAGCTGGCGGACCTGTTCGTGCACAAGAAGCACTCGAACATGCCCGATTTGGGCCTCGGTAGCAACGGGAAGAACACCGTCGCCAAGGAGTGCCAGCAGTCGAAGAATTCGGTGGCGAGGACGAACCATTTGGACGTGCGCAGACAGTTCCTGGCGAGCTTGGCGCCGCTGTCCTGCGTGACCGTCAGCAACACGGATAACCAGGAGGATTACTACCGCCACGACTCCAGAACAATGCCCGGCGAGAATCGCGAGTTGTCGGCGAACTACAACAACGCCGCTTCGCCGTACAATCTGGAGGACATCGAGGCGGCCCTGCGAGAGAACGATCGGAACTACGTCGGCCCGCCGGACGTGACCAAAGGGACGCCGATGATCATCAACAAGCCCGACATCGGGGACAACGCGACCGACGAGCTGCTGGCGTTCGTCGAGCAGGACAAGTTCCGTACCGAGAGACTGAAGCGTCGTTACAACGAGGTCGACGATCACTACTTTTCTAAAATGCACAGCATAAACGCCTACGCGACGGACAGCGGCAGACTGGAGAAGATCGCGGACGGCAGGAGCGAGCGGGACGAGAATCGCCAGCAGCAGCGGAACAACGAGGCGCAACGGGCGACCGATCTTCGTTACAGCGGCGGCGGCAACAACGACAAGAGAGGCGAGAGCGTCGGGAGCAACGACGCCGCGGTGAACGCCGTCGACAACGACAACAACGATGAGGACGGCGACGACGACGAGCTGAACGACTACGGCTTCAATCGTCGGCCGTCCGTGACTGGCATCAAGCAACGATTGTCGAACCACACCTCCGTCGAAACCTTCCATCGCGCGGTCTTGGAGAACGACGCATTGAACGTTCCCAAGTCGTCGAACTACCATTCGCCGCAACCGACCTATTACGAGACCAATAACAGCGTGCAGATCGACGGCCGGATCCGATTGTACGACGAGACGGCGATCGACAACGCGACCCCGCACTCGTTCATCGGCACCCTGCTCACGGACGACCGGGACGCGAACACGATCAACCGAATCAACACGATGCAGAAGCAGATCGACGACATCTATCAGACGATCGTCGAGAATACCAATGTCGCCGAGCAGCCGGCGCTGGAGCGTGGCCCGTACGCCGAGGACGCGTTCGCCAGGCAGCACGGCCAGCTGCCGGTGAACGAGGCCGCGTTCCACTTTTATCAGGAGCAGAAGAACGGCCAGCAATACTTCCAGGAACAGCTGAACGCGGTGAACGCGCGTCACGTCCGAGGCGTGGCGGCCGGGGCCGAGGAGATGGACACCGCGATCGCGGGCAGGGAGTACGCGATGAACAATCACCCAGCGACCGTCCGGCGCAGAGACCCTACCGCCGCGGTCGTGACCACCACTCTGGCCAACAACCGCTGCAACGTCATGCCGGTGATGAACAACGAGTTCCCGCCGAACGGAAAGTGTTACCGAACTATGTACTTCGTTCCGTACAACGGGCTGTCCGATCCGACCTATCAGAACATCCAGCGCATCCTGCCGGCCCATCCATCCCCCAGTTACGCGACCCACATCGAACGGTACCCGTACCCCAGGTCGAACAAGACCGACCCGCTGCAGCCGCGACCCCAGTCGATCCCCGCGGCCCAGCAACAACAGTTGCAGCAGCAGCTGAGATACTATCACATCGCCAACCGGCCGATCGCGCCGATATCGAACTTCGCGCAGACCAACATACCCTCTCCGTTGCCCCCCGGCTCCATAGGCGCGCACCCCGTGCCCCCCGGCGCCGCTTCTTTCGACTCCCGACTAGCTTCGATGACGTCACCCGACCCCGTCGCGCTGCAACCCGCGCTACAGCCGGCGCTGCAACCCGCCTTGCAGCCCGCGCTACCGCCCGCGTTGCAGCCAGCCCTGCAGCCCGCGCAACAGACCCTGCACTTGCATCTGCACCAACATCAGCAGACCTCGGAGGACTTCCGAATATCCGGCGTCGCGTTCGCCTCGGTCCCGCGAACCGCCGGCCACTCCCTGCAGCTTCACCATCATCACCATCATCATGAACACCAACGGCGTCAGCCGGCGTTTTATCAAATCCCGGCGACCACCGCGAACATAACCGCCACGTCCTCCGCGTCGTCGTACACCGTTATCGCGCCGACCAGGTGCGCCACCATCGGCGGCAGCGGCCTCGCGAACACCGAGAACTCTTATCGGTTCTATCAGCTGCACCTGGGCCGCACGGTGGTCACGCCCGCCGCCGAGCTGCAGTCCGCCCAGACGTTCTTGTCTTCTTCTACCTCGACCTCTACCTCGATCGCACCCTGCACCACCGCGTTCTCGCAGTCTGTCACACCGGCCTCGTCCTCCTCGTACTCGTCCCCGATGCCCGTGTCGTATTCTCCTCTGGCCACGGTGACCGGCATCGCGACTCAACAGGCGTCCATGCTCGTGCTTCCTAATCACGCGACCGAGAATCCCCATGGAGCACCGCAGATCGATTCCAATCACGTACCCGCGTCGAAACCTGGGGTCGCGTCGACGTCCTGTTCGTCGTCGTCGTCGTCCTCGTCGAACTCTTCGGTTTCATCCTCCTCCTACTCCTCCTCGTGCTCCTTCTCTTCTTCTTCCTCCTCCTCTTGCTCGCCCTCCTCCCTGCAAATCCCCTGCTCGCCCTCGAAGCAACAGCATCACCAACAGCATCAGCAATCCGTCGGCCCCCCCTCCTACGCTGTAATCGAACGCGGCGTACCGGAAGGGGCCGCCAGCACCGGCCCCCAGGACGTTTCCCAGCCAGGAATGTTGCTCGCGTCGAACCCCTACGTCCCGAGGAATCCCAGCGGGGTCTCGTTACCCAGTCACGTACAGAATTCGGTGTACTACGCGATGAACGTTTAGACTCTGTGTGCGCATGCGCGGACGATAGACCCGGCATGGGTACGACTTGTCCTCGGAGAGCGGATCGCCCCTGGAGGCACGCTTCCGGGCAAACGAGGGTCCTCGCTAGTTCTCGCGGAATCGTACAGCGGGCGCGGACAATGGTCGCTCAGTCTTTCAGCGAAAACGTACGGCATTGACGAAACTAAGATGTTTCAGTACTCGCGTGCACACTGAACGTGCTTCTTCTTCTCGGCGACGAATAGTTTCTTTCGCTGCGACCTTGTCGTTGAACTTTTTCATCGAACGTTGCTTCACCTTGTCCCCGAAGGTGTTCTTCTCCATGAAATAATGGAAGGTATTCCGATGATGTCCACACGTTCGAGTATCTCACCCTACCGGTCGCTATGAAATTAAAAGACTGAGTGTAAAAATACATTTTGACCTACCGAGTCTAAATCGTTGTCCCGCGTAGAGGCGTGGCTTTGTTGCTCCCGATTCATCCGGGGCCAATGTTGGACGGCGTGGATAACCTCTAGATTTTTATTAATCGTCGAGGCCGACGTTGCTGGTCACCGACGTGATGTTATATTTTTCAACGACCAGGCTCGTCCTGCCCGTGCAGCAATTCCTTTTCTAGAATGTCACGCGGGTGACTAACGACCGACCGCCTTTAACCCCTTGTCGTATTTTGACGAGTCCGACTCGTTATGAAAATTTCTGATAATAACTTATCGAGTATAGATGTGTTATTCTGTCCTTTGAAATTGGAATGAAATTCTAATCTCTTGTCATCAATATTTAAGCATTCGAGTAAATTTAGGCACACACGATAAGCATCAATTTTCTTTCCCCTCTAAGAAATTATTGCAATCGAAAAATTTCTAATCACAGTAACTGCGAAGAAGACGGTATGTCAAGGGGTTAACGAGCGATAAGAATCTGATTTAAAAAAAAAAGAAACGTACGGCCAACGCGTTCACTCTTCTTCTCGTTTCTCTTCGCCCCGATCGAAAGATTCCTAAATGTCGTACAGAGACACAGACTCGAATAACTGCATTTTACCACGGACAGTGGACGGAACAAACGCAAAGTGATCTTTTTAAAAGAGCTGTTCGTTCAAGTACAAAAAAAGAAAGAAAAGAAAAATAATAACCGTCGGATGCGTTTTTCTCGTTGTTGGGGAACGAGCTGGGCACCGTGTTTTCGACGATGCCCCCCTGCCAGTACCGCGTGCTCGTCACAAGTGCCCAAATAACAAACGAAACAAGAAATTCTACGTTCGTTCCGAGAACCATTTGCAATAGTTAAATGTAAACTTTACGAACTCACCACGTTTGCTACACCAAATGTACTTGTATACACGTATGCACAGGCATACGGTTTAATATCGGAGACATTCGTCGATCATTCTCGGCGATATACGATCGAGTCGCGTTGCCGCGATTTCGAAACGTAATTCGCACAGGGAGACATTTTGTTCGTTCCGTTGTGCATATTGTGTACCAATGGTTATCGATTCTAGTCATGGTAAAAAAAAAAACGCGTACGCTAATAACCACAAGTATAAAAGCAAAGTACGTTCGGTACATTTAACAAAGTATGTTAAATTTAAGTATACGTGCAAGTATAACTAGCAGTGACAAAGATTCGCGAGTAAGTTGAATTCAATTTCTGTGGCGGAATTGATTAAATAATTAAGCGTATGAAAAGGAGGGATGCATTGTGAACTGAAACGTCTCGTCTCGCGCAATGATTAACAAAAAAAAAGAAGTCTTCTTTGATCAGTTCATCGGAAAAGCAAGATGATGTCTGACAGATCTCTCTTTTTGTTCTAATTCTTTGCTACTTTGTTGTTCCCCCTCTCTCTCCCTCTCTCACTCTCCCTACCTTCCTTCCTCTCTCTCTCTCTCTCTCTCTCCCCTCCTTTTTCTGTATTTCGCGAAAATTGAAATACTTGAAAATTTGCCACAGCGAATTCGTCGGAACAACGAAAATGGCGATAAGGGCAATATTATTAGCAACTTGTCATTTAGCTGACGCGCAATGCTACGTTATTTTCGTTACTTTGTCGTGGGTGTCGTTCGAGCTTTTCCAAAGAACGTTTTTAAAACTGACCAGGAAAATAATACACGCTGTTTCGCAGAAACAAAACGGTAGACGACTTGGCAATGATTCACACGGGCGAGCGAATTACGTAGGTACACGATGTAATGGCCGTGTATCGCAGTCAGTACTGTAGCGACTTAAATATTATAGGAACAAAGTATTAACGTATTAGAGTAGAGCATAAGGTAATGTTCGGCGTCGGCGACGGCGCTCGAACGTTGATTAGTTTCGATCCAAAGTTAAGTACCAAACATTTCGTGGTAATACACAGCCAAATTTAAGGACAAGTTTTACATGTACCATATAATTTACTTAATTCTTGAAAAATATCACCGTGAACAAAAACAAAAATGTGTATGTAAATAAAGCTTCAATCGTACAATCGTGTTCATGTCCCTCTTGTGATTGTGTACAAAAGAAACTTTTTGTGAAACCGGGACGAATCATCGAGAAGTCATCGATGGTAGAAAAAAAGAAAAAAAAACGAAATAATAATCGACTCACCGAAAGAAACTTTCCGGAATTCGCCTATTTTGTATCGCCGACGAGATATTTGGAATTATACAGTCACGGCGGTGTGTCGACGTATAAATTGTGAGAAATGTACTCCGTAGGCTCTCGATTCCATGTGTTTTAAAACTGATTTATTAAAGAATTCACACTACCAATTTATCCATAAAAACTTCTTACACATTAAAGCAGTTGAATATGTCGCCGTGTTCTTTTTAATACGCAACTTTGTATGGATGTTTCGCAGTCCTCGATGATTATACACATCAATTCTTTCGTACGAATAGTCGAAAAGTATTCATGCCCGCCAAAGTAAATCGGTTCAAGTCCAACGGATCAGTCGCAGGCTGGATCTTTTTCAACGAATCGGCTCGTCGATACGTTATGCACTCCCGATGCATGTACAAAATCGTTTTTCTTCTGTTTTTCATTTTCTTTTTTTTTTCGTTTTTTGTTTGTGTGAATTTTCTCGTTCGACTCGAGCACGCGTCGGTAACGAACGACAGATCGCGGGGTACCGGTCCGTTAACGATCTTGTCCCTATCAATGTGCCTTTACGTTCGAATAAGTCGCGAAACAAACCTGCAAAAATAAAGAAAAACCTTTTGTTTCTTTTACTCTACGCATCGCAAAAAGATACTGCATTTCGAAATAATCGACGCAGTTGATTTATTGCGAGGAATGCATTTCGCGGAAAGTGCCGGTGTCGGAAACATTTAAGAAACCACGCGTTCAATGTCGGAGAATATGTTGATAATCAACACGACTTATACTATATAAATTGTCAATTATATAGTCTTACAATTAATTATATATATATATTTTCCGTTTTTTACGGGCTAGTCCATTTTAATGTGCCCGCTAACTCCGCTGCAACCGGCGAGTTCTAACTTTGTCCTCGCTTCGTAGACGACGAGAGAATCGCTGTTACAAAAAATCTTGCATTTCCATGTATATATATATTTGTTTGTATAATCAAAGAATTACATAGAAATGCCTATTTCGGAACAAATCTTTTGAAGGATTCAAAGTCTAGGCAATACATTAATTGTAGGAACACTGTTTTGTAGCAGGCACATTAACTGGGGGCGCATGATTGTGAACAGGCACATTAATTCGGGAAGCTTGAACGTGTTCGAAAACACTTGTAAGGGCACACTAAATGAGGCAAAATAATGTCTTTTTATTTTAATTAGAAAATGATGAAAAATTAACATTTCCTTTATCGGAGAGGTAAATTAAGAAACCAATGGAAATTTTGAGCGGACGTAATCGAAACCGGTGATGCCGGTAATTAATTCATCGATGAGCAAATCGGCTCAATGGCACATTCATAGGGACCGGTACCCCATGGATACTCGCTCGGATTTCGGAACAACTGATCGTCGAAAATGTTCTCGCATGCACCTTATGATGAAACGATTCACAGTCTTCCTCTGTATAGCGCTAATAGATTTTCGAAATGACATCGGCAGCGCTCTACAACAGGATACATCGTCTTCTTCTAACCGGCTCTGGAGGTTCTAAAGCTGCTAGAATCGCTTCGTCGAACACGTTTTTCAATCCTTTCTAAAAAGCAAAGCGAAACGACGCTATAAAGGTGGAAAAGCGCTTGGTACACGGCGAATCGGATCCGTATTAAAACTAAAGATACCTGTGTAAGCGCGCTGCATTCAACATATTTGACCGCTTTTAATTCTTTCGCAAGTTTTTCACCTTGTTCCGCCGATATGGGCTTTTGCTTATTCTTTGCAAGCTTCTCGATAGTTGGTACGTCGTCTCGCAAATCGATTTGGGTACCAACTAACAAGAACGGCGTTTTTTGACAGTGATGAGTTATCTCTGGAACCCACTGATAAAACACGTATTACTTATCTCTACGAAATGCTTCTTTAGACAGGTGCTATCAGAATTAATTGCCGGATGTGGAAACTTACTTTTTCTTTGACATTTTCAAAAGATGATGGCGACACTACTGAAAAACATACAAGAAATACATCTGTTTGAGGATAACTCAAAGGACGCAGCCGATCATAATCTTCTTGACCTTTGAACACACAAAAAAGAGACGCAAATAAAGTACGGCCCGTAAACGAATTGCTCTTAAAACATTAAAAATCGCATCTGTCAGCAAACTTCAACCCTCGAAACGAATTTACGGGAATAGAATGGCGGTAACATAAAAATTCCTTCAAAGGTTGATATCGATGACAAAAAACAATTGAAATTGTTTGGAATTGAATAGAATGCTTACCAGCTGTGTCAAATAATCCTAACGTATATGGTTCACCACCGATCATAACCGTGACCGCATAATTGTCAAACACTGTTGGAACATATTCAGATGGGAATTTGTTGGTAGTGTACGATATCAACAGACAAGTTTTACCTACTGCACCATCGCCCACTACAACGCACTTGATTGTTTGCATTTTGTTCGTTTTGCTTGGATCACTCTACGCAAAAGGAATAGCAGTATGTTATTAGAGACAGTTCGGGATCCGATGGGATGGGCAGTTTCTTACACGAGATTATTTGTCAGCGGCGTGGCTGATTTCTGTCTTGTTCCGTTCCATCGAGTTCGGTCTTGTCTAGTCCCACGAGTTTTGTCAGGTCATGTCGCGTCCCATTACATCCAGTCACGTCCAATTACGTCCGGCAACGTCTCTGTCGTGTCCTCTCCGAATTAAGGGACGTAATCACCGATTGCTTAGTCGAAAAAGCCTCGCCAAAACTTGCGAAACAGCACGTATGTATGCGTGTATCTCTCTGGACAAGAAACGTGAACCGCGTCCGTCGAACCTCAACGCGAGTCAATGGAATTACACATAGGCCTCCTCTGGAATTATTGTTTTTTCAGATCGCCATTTTACAGATCCCATGGGTTATTGGAGTTTATCTTCCGATCCGATATCATCCGGATACGTGGACGAATCGATCCAATCGCAGCTGCCCGGCTCGGACCCAGTAAAAAAGGTAGCGCAATCGTGGAATGCAATATACGAAACTTAACTGAAACATTCACGAGCAACTGGGCGTCGACAACACACTTCACTGTCACAAATTTTTCGAACGAGGCTAGACAGCCAAACGAACCTGTTTTTTTAGCTCGCAGTCGCCATCTATAGCGCGGCAAAGCGTACTACGACTTAACAGTTCTTTCGAAACTTTTTATCTTCCTAAATCGTGCGACGTTGATATCCTACATTCTATCTCTCCAGACAGCAGAGCCAGAAGGTATTAAATTATGCTTTGAAAAACATTATGCACGCAGTTACAAAAAATATATCAAGGAGTTCGCGGAACAGACATACGTATTTCTGTAAGATGTCGCTTACGATTCCTATTTCGCACACGTTGTACAAGTTGTTCTGGAGCGATGTTCGGAGCGTACAATTTGTGTACGCAAGCGTATTAACATTTTCATAAGTCTCGTAAAAATCGTTTGCGATAGCAACGTCTAAATCAATCGTTATATTTGCCAAAGGCGTTCGATGACACCTTGCGTTTGGTCCTCAATTATTCAATGACTCGAGCCTATATTCAGGTGAATCGTTCGTTTGAAATTCCTTGAAGTTTGATTCCGATCGATGCGATTCAAGCCGAACGGTTCGGAACAAGACGGACGCAAAGATACAGACAGAATCTATCGCGTCGACATCGTATACAAGAACAAATTACAACATCGTGAAACGTAATTAATTGATTTTTGAAGTTTGGTTAACTATTACGTTAACTAATTATATTTTGCGTCGTTCGATTTTCTTACACGATATCGACACTGTAGAGTCTCCTGAGCAATTCTGTACCCTCGGTTTAGTTTCTTGTGCCCCCATTTTACCAAAATTAATATTTCTATACAACCCTGCGTTGTGCATATGTAGACGATTGCGACGCCTTTTTTGGAGAAGAAACGAAGCTCCGTTCGATGTCTTTACAGCGCCAATTCGGCTAGTGGCAAAACGCTGAAACTATTAACCAAAACGGACTGTAAGTAACTTAGCTAACAGTTTGAGCGTTTTGCCACTACCTCAATTGGCGCTGTACAGACACCGAACTAAGCTTTACTTTTTCTCCGCAAGAAGCGCCACAATCGCCCATATACTATGCACAATGCAAGATCGCCTAAAAACATTAATTTTAGCAGAATGAGGGCATGAAAAACTAATCCAAGGTTACGGAATTGCTCGGAAGAATTTACCGCGTCGATATCGCGTAAGAAACCGAAACAGCAACGACACGAAATAGAAAATTAGTTAACGTTACAGTTAACCAAACTTCGAAGAGCAATTGTTACGTTTCGCAATGCAGTCACTTGTTTTTGTATACGGTAAAACCGATCGAACTTCCTTATTTCGTTTTATTACTAAAACAAATCGAAGTAAATATTAGGGGGACCGGAAAGTTATGTCGTTTGTTTACATTAAATTCGAGCAGATAAATATGCGCAGAAACGACATTACTTTCCGGCCCCCCTAATATTTGTTATCAACAGCGGTACAAGCTGCGAGCCCTTCGAGTCCTCGATAAAGGACTATAATAATATAATAATATAAAGGACTATATGAACTACACAGATTTTGGAAATAAATCAACCGCAATTCTTCAACAACGAACATGTTTTCAGACGTTTAATCAATACAAATCTAGTCTGCGAGAAATTGAGAAAAAGAGATGAAAGACAAATAACACACTCTTCGACCTAAGCCGGTGAACCTCTGCCGTTGCATCCTGTGCACCCGAAATGCATCGGTTCGACGCGTACATAAAAAAAAACAAAAAATAGTCCACGCTCCATAGCACGCGTTCGCAGCGTTACGAACGAATACGAAAATTCTTTATTACAAATATCCTAAACACCTATAATATAGATATAAATACACATAATGAACGGATTAGCAGAGCGATGTACAAACACATGTGTACATATGCACGTATAAGAGAAAATCAATTGAGAGCCTGAGGGATGCATAATTGTTTGCGAGCACATGGTGGTTGTCCTGTAGTAGCCCAACGTCTGTGCCGGCGTGTCAACGATTCGATGCGACGTGCATTTCTAAAAAAGAGATGACCGCGGCAACGTCTAAACTGGAAGCGCAGTCTGTCCGAGGTATATCACCCGTAGTTTTGTGGATAAATACATATGTACATCTGTGATCGTACAGTTCTCCTAATGTCATTCGATGCACGTTGGCAGATTAACGACAAAGAACGTGTTGAGCTCCAGGATCGAGNTCGAGCAGATAAATATGCGCAGAAACGACATTACTTTCCGGCCCCCCTAATATTTGTTATCAACAGCGGTACAAGCTGCGAGCCCTTCGAGTCCTCGATAAAGGACTATAATAATATAATAATATAAAGGACTATATGAACTACACAGATTTTGGAAATAAATCAACCGCAATTCTTCAACAACGAACATGTTTTCAGACGTTTAATCAATACAAATCTAGTCTGCGAGAAATTGAGAAAAAGAGATGAAAGACAAATAACACACTCTTCGACCTAAGCCGGTGAACCTCTGCCGTTGCATCCTGTGCACCCGAAATGCATCGGTTCGACGCGTACATAAAAAAAAACAAAAAATAGTCCACGCTCCATAGCACGCGTTCGCAGCGTTACGAACGAATACGAAAATTCTTTATTACAAATATCCTAAACACCTATAATATAGATATAAATACACATAATGAACGGATTAGCAGAGCGATGTACAAACACATGTGTACATATGCACGTATAAGAGAAAATCAATTGAGAGCCTGAGGGATGCATAATTGTTTGCGAGCACATGGTGGTTGTCCTGTAGTAGCCCAACGTCTGTGCCGGCGTGTCAACGATTCGATGCGACGTGCATTTCTAAAAAAGAGATGACCGCGGCAACGTCTAAACTGGAAGCGCAGTCTGTCCGAGGTATATCACCCGTAGTTTTGTGGATAAATACATATGTACATCTGTGATCGTACAGTTCTCCTAATGTCATTCGATGCACGTTGGCAGATTAACGACAAAGAACGTGTTGAGCTCCAGGATCGAGGCGAACACCAGGAAAACGGCATAAGTGATGAGACAGGCGATCCCGACGGTCCGCGTCAGTCGGAATTTGCCGAACAGGAGGGACAGGTAAAGGATGAGCAGAGTGGAGAACAGGGATATCGAGCTGTACACGAGACCTTGGGAATTGATCTTGACGAAGTGTTGGTTCGCCACGGTCGGGAAGAACGCAGCTTTCAGGAACCAAGGCAGCCCGAGGCAGAGCAGCACGTCGAACACGTTCGAGCCGATCGAGTTACTTATACCCATGTCCCCGTGTCCTAGAAATCAATGACAGAAAAAAAGAACAATCGAGACTGCGGCCAGATAAGAGAAAATCCTGTCAAGGTTACGGAATTGCTCGGAAGAATCTACCGCGCGTCGATATCGCGTAAGAAAACCGAACGGCAACGACACGAAATAGAATTAGTTAACGTTACAGTTATTACAATTCGCATTGCAGTCACCTGAAAACCAAAACACGCATCGGGAGGAACAGAGAGACGGACTCGGACGGATGAGACATTGTCACGTGTCGGTAGTCGGCGACTCCGAGATCGATGAAATTCGATAACGGGATCGCGATAGCGCCACGTGCTCCGCTATCGCGAGACAATCTTTGTACAGTACAGCATTTATCGTGAATGTTATTCGCTAGTTACACTCTACTCTGATTTGTAAAGATCGTCGCCGATTAGCCGCGTGTCTTAGGCGTGTCCGACCGCGGCTACTGCTCGTTTTGATCCGATAATGAGTCCGGCGGACGGACGTCGCCAAGAACGACTAGAACGGTTAAAAAGACCGACGGAATTACCTTGATTCGCAACAATAACGCTCGACACAGCCTCTGGCACGCTCATTCCTGCCGCAAGAAAGGTCAATCCCATTATGGAGTCCGGGATCCTGAACGTATCCCCTGGAATAATGATCGATCGTCACGCGACCTCGCAGCAGCGTACATTCGACAACACGATTTTTCGTGGTCTACTAATCTAACGCGATCAATTAGATAATACGAATCGTCCATCGGGGAGTACCGCGGTTCGCACGGCCGACGATGATTAACCGACGGCCGCATGGAGGAATTATTATGAAACACCTACCGATAACGGTGATCACCCAGCCGACTATGTACGAAGTCGTCGCGATCCATACGATACACATGATAAACGTAACCGGGTACCACGATTTCAGTGTATCTCGCCGGCAATCGGGGATCGTCACCAGAAGCAAGAAATTAATCGGCCACGTTAACAGCCACCACAGTTTCTCGAACACCGTGCCCTGCCAGCTCGTCATGTTCACGATGTCCACTGAAAACAACAGACCAACCGACGGCATCATTCGCGACGTATTCGTCTTCCGTTATCGTTCCCTACGTTTACGTTACCACGGTTCCGGCCGTGTGCTTACTTACGCGATTCGTCGATCTCCCCTGAATCCATCACCACGATGTCCGGGTTTTTTATGATATCTGAGGAAACAACCGGACGGATCATGTGTGTCTCGATCGAGAGCAGATGATGCTCGCGATTAGAAATTAGGATCTTACCGTTCGAGATCAGCGGGCTCTTCTCGCTCAGATTCGTGTACTTGTTCTTCGGGGGTCTTACGCAGTGCATGAAGTTACTGATGCTGCGGTTGAAGCACATCGCTGCGAACACAGAAAACCATGTTATACGGAACACGTTCGATCGTTTCGTTCGTCGTGTGGTCACGATTTAGCGTGGAGCATTCGAACGATTAATAATCTCCCCCCCCCCCCCGGCCCTCCAAACGAGGAATATCTTTACAGCGATCGCGGTGATCGAGCCACGGATTTTCAGGATTTGCGACGTAATCGGCTAAGCGAAATTGTACACAGTGGCGCGATTGAAGGAAGCCAAGAATATCAATACACTATCTTCGATCGACCATAATAAGCGCCGCTTTTAATCTTCGTGTCTTTGGTGTGTAGCTTCTTCCACCCGTTATCGTATCTTTAAAGAACGATTACTAGACCGCCGATTTATGCACTCGCGATAAAAACAAAACAGTGAGAACGTTACGTGAACCGGAAAATGTCGTCGCGCGACGCACAACTTATTAAAATTATTGCAAAGAATGAAAGACGGAATTTTTCGAAAGTTCGACGCGGTTGAACCGGGAAATTTTTCCTTTTCTATTTGCAAGATTCTGCGAGATACTTACTGAGGATGTAGAGAACGTAGATGAGGACGAGGATGAGTGCTTCGTACCATTCGATGCGTCCGTCTCTCAGCGTCAAAACTAATAGCAAAACGGTAATCGCGTACGCGGCCGAATCTCTTGTAACAGGCCACCAGGCCAACTTCAGTACCTGTAAATACACACTTAATTGTTCTGGCCAGAATTCGGCGGCTTTATCTCGGATCTGCTCGCGCGAGTAGAGAGAGAGAGTCCGACGGCCTTCCTTTTAGTAGTAGCAGCAGCATGGAAAAAGTCGTACTTGATTCGCGAATATGCCGCAACAAGCGGGCACGGCTAGTATATTGAAAACGGCGGAGCCGACGATCGTGCCAACGCCCAAATCTCCCTCGGTGACGAAGGTGCCGATGATGTTGATGAATAATTCCGGACTGGAGCTGGCCGCGGCCATGATCGTCGCTCCTGCGACGTCCTCGGTCAGGCTCAGCTCTGAAAATGGCGTATTTTAAAGAGGTCGTTCGTCCGACAGACATTTTCGTCAATCGAAACCGTCGTCCCACTTCGACTCACTCTCGCAAATCTTCTTCATGGACGGAACGAAGAAGTCGTCGCAAACGACCGCGAGCAGCAGGAACATGTAGACGGCTATTATAAAATGTATGACTATGAATCCCGACTGCCTTTGGTCCCGCGTGAGACCGTCCGATGGGAACTCCTTGATCGCCGGAGGGGTGCAATTGAAAGGCTCCTCCGTCGGTCCTCCTGGCTCCGCGGTGGTCGTTTCGAATTGCAAGAGCTTCCGAAAACCTTGAAGAAGGATCCGATTCGAGTCACTGTTGCACGCGTGCACGCACCTCTCTCGCCCCGGCGAGAGCTTCGCCGGAGCCTCGATAAAGATAATCCGACGGTGTATAGGACGAGAAAAAGAGGAGAATGCCGCGCTAAAATTTCCATCGACCTATTTCGCCGGTATTCGCACGATACGAGCACACACGTGGACGATGCGCGCATTATGCCCGCGTTACATAATCTCCGATCGTAAAGATCAACCTTATTTCACATTCTCCGCCCTTTAATACAGCCGGCCGTGAAAAAATCCCTCCGTTCTAATTACCATTTAATTCGAAGATCGTTCGTTGCAAAACTGTGTACCGCGCGTCCGAAAACGCGGTTTCGGCGGCGATCCCGAGGCTCGATTTCGGACGATAAATTGATCCATGAGGAAAAAAACTTACGTATATCTGTCCGATGATTCGTCGTCTCCACGCTGTTTGACAGTATCGCGGCCATGGCGTTTACAAAAATTAGGTACAACGTCGGCACGGCCACGGTGCACAGCACTCTGTAGCCCATCGCTCGCGTGTATTTTCGTACCATTTCGTTTGGTTGCACGAATTTCGGTCGGCAGTGAAGAAATGAAAAAATGGAAAGAGAGGTTTTTTGGGGAACAACGTGCGACTGTGCGCCGTTCGGTTTGATACTGATTTTGATTCGCAGTCCGCCGATAGACCGCATCGACATTTTTCGTTTACGGGCATTATCGGCCTCAACTTTACACAGATAAGATACTAACGTGAAGTGAGACAAGACGTCCCTTCGTTGATAATTCAACAAAAGGAAAACACACCTACCGCTGAAAACCTACTAATTAAATGTCCCTCGGCCGCTGCTGGACGTGTTCGAGTGGCACCACGTTCTAGGTAGATTTCCACGGGAATTTAGACCATTCGTAAATTGCGCACGATCGTTCCTCACGCGCAATTATGCCGTTCTAATTTTCCCGGTGTCGTCTTTCGGCTCGCAATTAATTTAACCGTTGTTGTTCGAACGAAGGAATCCGTCTACGCGCGTTCGTCGACACAGAGCCGGCCTCGACTTCTTTCTACACGGATGTAACTGTTTTCACGTTATTGTTTATTACGAAGTCTTCCAAAGTATTGCGAGGATGTCGTTCGATTATTGATATTACTATCTCGATGGCTGAATTGTGCAATTTCGACGCGTATTTTATCGTGAGCACGCTTTTTTGGCGAGCACGGCAGCTTCTCGCAAACACGAATAATTCACGTTATTTCGGTTTCTGAGATTTGTTTCGAAACAGAGAAACTCGCATCGAAGAATCGGCAATCCGTGAAAATGAAAAACGCGCCCAAAGATCGGATAAAAGAGTTATCGAGAGATAACACGAGAAGATGAAACATCGAAGAATCGGCAATCCGTGAAAATGAGAAACGCACCCAAAGATCGGATAAAAGAGTTATCGAGAGATAACACGAGAAGATGAAACATCGAAGAATCGGCAATCCGTGAAAATGAGAAACGCACCCAAAGATCGGATAAAAGAGTTATCGAGAGATAACACGAGAAGATGAAACATCGAAGAATCGGCAATCCGTGAAAATGAGAAACGCACCCAAAGATCGGATAAAAGAGTTATCGAGAGATAACACGAGAAGATGAAACATCGAAGAATCGGCAATCCGTGAAAATGAAAAACGTATTCAAAGATCGGATAAAAAAGTTATCGAGAGACAACGAAACGATGAAACATCGAAGAAAATTCGCGTGACTTTACACGGAAATCTCTAGATTTATTTTGTCGATGAATAAACGTGGAACAGGATTCGTGGCTCAGAAATCTTCGTCGATTCGTAAACGCTCTCGAAAGTGCCTAATTTTAAAGCTTCTACAGCGCGGACGCTGCTGCGGACAGAGAGCGACCGAGCGTACGTTTTGGCAAGAGCTGTACAGGAAATGGACGATTGAATTATGCTGAAAATTTTTGCCGGCGTTCCACGATAAACGTGCGTCAACTATATAACAAACAACGAATCGGTACGCTCGTCCGAGAAGAATTTCCGAAGCTGCGTGCGTAGCAACGTTCCTCTGCTCTGGACAGTTCTCAAAATCGATCGAAACAAGTTCGTCGAACAGTTCGCAGACGGCGGGAACGGAGAATTCCAAATTGTATTTTAGACTATTCCAAATAGATGCCCGACCGATTTATCTCGCGAAAACGGCTAAAAAATGCGACGCGTGCCGATCGCGATCTGCAGCAAAAAAGGGATCGCGAACGGAGCTTCGCTACGAAGCACACAGCTCGAAACGATTCGAAGGGCAACGAATGCGATTCGCGTGGCCGTGGACCCGATTTTTTGGGCCCGATTTCGAAATACCGGTTCGGATATTTTGTGCGCGGGCGTGGCGCGACGAACGAAGCGAGATGTTTTGTTTCTTGCGAAATCGCGACGAAACGGAGACGATGCGACGGTCAATTTTCAAGGAAGGCATAATGACGATTAGCGCAATGACGATTTCGCATTTTGACCGCGGCACGATTCAGCAGGCGCGATGCGCGAGAGATGAGAGAAGAGAAGAGAAGAGTCAGAGGGAGGGGCGATTCCAACAAACGCCGCCGGACTTCGGAGTAGTTGTTAATGTAGTATATGTGTGACAACGGGATTGTCAACATGGATACGTCTGACTTAGGAGGAGGTTCGTTTGAATAGATTCTCAGATATCGCACCGGGGTGAGATTCCGTGTTCTCGTGTGTCGCCTAACCGTCCACCAGCGAAACGGGACGCGCGCGGGGCCTGTGATTTCCGGGGGGGAGACAAAGGTCGCGGGATTACGGTTTCGGGGGCCGTTCGGGACGACGGATCGGGAGGGCCCCGATCGGTTTCCGTCGATCCACGGGCCCGGTGAAAAAATTCGAGTTTCGACGAACCGTGACGGAGAGGAAACGAGGGCGGCCGAAACGCGGAGGTGGAGGAGGACAGAGGTGGTGGCGGAGAAAGAGAAGGAGAAGGAGAAAGAACTGTGCAGGACTAGTCTTCTGCGCTATAATCATCGGCATCCACGGCATCGGTGGAAAGTGTCGAAGAACCCAGAAGTTCGAGAAATGCCTGTGTTCTCGACACGGGAGGAGGCCGTGAGGTAGAAAACAACGCGCGGACGTGGACGAGGAGCTGGGCGAGGAAGAAGGCGAAGAGAAGTGCACGAGAACCGGAGCAGATGGAGGAGGTGGAGGTGGAGCGGGCGGAGGCCGAGGAGGGGGGGCGGGGGAGGAAGCGGAGGCGGAGGAAGAGAAAAATAAAACAATGGATTAACAGGATGGGAAACTGCTAAATTTCGTATAGGAAAGATTTTTTCTTTCCGAATATTGTGTATCTCCCGGTAACGCGGCCGAGGAAACAGGTGTGACGTGCGACGACGCTGTATACCGTTGTATAACAACATTTTGTGGTTCGATCGCCGATGCTCGTGCGAAAGAAAACGGTACACGCGAGACGATTCCACGACGAAATCCGCCCGCGCCCGATAAATAAGCGTTACGTTTTCCGAAAGAAGGTATTATTTTTCCGGCAATCTATTTTTTGGTACACAGTGCTGTTTCCGCCGTTTCGCGATAGGACGGTCCTCTCTTCCGTGCGAGTCGATCCGTGGGCCCAAGATTTTCGAAACGATCCGCTTGATCAGGAAATTTGATCTATCCGGCACGCTATTCTCTGTCTCTCTCTCTCTCTCTCTCTCTATCACTCTATCTCTATTTCCCTTTCACGCACACATAATATTACGATGAATCGTAGCACAGGATAGAGAATGTTTAAGAAGCCGTTGCGCGTGGCGAACCGTTTCGCTATATTACACGAAAACGTATTTTACAGTGAATGACACTGGTAATGATCGTTCAATTATGCGAGATCGGGGCGGTGAGTAGGCTACGCGTTTTCAGACGCCGCGTTCGAGCGTACTGTCGGCGATCTATCGTGGCGTATCGTGGCGCGATGTTACCGACTTTAACCGAGCATAAACAGCGAAAACGTTTGCCGCGGAACGGTCAGAGGGAATGTACATATTTCAATTAGCTGGCAGCCCGGGTCGTAAATTGCCGGTTGTAAAATCATTAACGGAAGGAACGTTCGGATTATGCAGGATGGGGCATCAACGAACCGTGGAAGAGCCGTGTTCTATGGCCGAGAAAAATATTGGGCCGACGAAGAATCGCGCGACGAAACGAAAGAGAGAACGCGACGAACGAACGAACGAACGAACGAACGACAGGGTTAGTTGCCTACGTGGCACGCATCCGGCAAATTCGATCGACGACGTAATCGGCCGATATTTAACGGGAACCGTTTTAATGCGACGTCCGTGCGTAGGCGGCCCGATATATTACTAATTGATGGCCGACAATTAACGGCGGAGAACCATGCCGATGACTATCGTTTGTTTCCAACGAGACGAAACCGTTCGAGACCGAATAGCCGAGCCACGTTATATCTAGTTTATACGACGTACATTAGACCTGAATGGCATCTCCTCTGCCAACTTGAATGAGAGCAATTTAACTTCTTTAGGTTGCTTAATCGGTAGGAAGTCACATCAGCTATACAGCTGTATAACCTGTACAAGACACCAATACGTGCATCGTTTGCTTCGTTACATCGCCAGCGAGGAATCCATAGGAGAAAAATCACCGGGACGAATGAATGGAAAACAATGCCGATCGGGTGAACGATCAAAACGTTCACCCGTTCAACGGAACCCGCGCGTGCCGCTTCCGTCGGTTTTCGACAATGGAACAGAAACTTGGGAAACGCCTATCGACGATCGATGTGGTCACACGTGTTAAATGTAAGGAGGGAAATGGCCTTTCGTTTCCTCCGGAATAGCGAATTCTCTCTCTCTCTCTCTCTCTCTCTCTCTCTCTCTCTCTCTCTCTCTCTCTCTCTTTCTGGGAATAAGCATCTCGTTTTCCGCCGATCTGTTCTCTGCCGTCTTCTCTTCGTTCCGCGTCTACTACCGTCGCTGGTTCGTATCGACGGAAATTCTGCGAAAATATATCGAACGTAGACCGGTTCAAAATGGACCGCGAGCAAGTCGCGACGCGAATTTAGAATAATTTCGCGGCGAACGAACGGAGCGTTCGAATGAAAAAGAAACAGCTTAGAAAATGACGCATAGAGACCGTGCGAAGTGTTTTCTACAGAACTTCCGAAGCAGTTCGTAACACGTTTTCTCGATCCGGTCGAAATATATTGGAAAAAAAAAATGAAAGAAATGGAGCTCCAGCTGCAATATCGCGTTATCGTTATTTCTGGACTTTCGCGATACCTGGCCGCGAAATCGCAGAATTTCGCGGAACGAGTCGCTCGTTCTATTCGCGTCGCGGACGAACGCACACGCAGGTTCTAATTTTCAAATTGTTTCAGTTGTGGATCGAGTGCATTGCAAAACGCCCACGGTTGGCCTTTGTTTGTCTTGCAATTAATTAATCTACTGCGTTTTAGCCGCCTCTTACGGCCGGCTAAAAACGGAAGCTTGCGCATTTTTCCAGAGAAATTGCCGCGGAATCGCCGCGAGATCGAACCGAATTCTGCCGCGCGAATTGTTCGCGCGATAAGCGGAAAGCGAAACGGCGGGAAAATGTAATTAGTAGCCTGTGTGCTGCGCGATTGTAAATTACGGATTCGCGATCGCGTTGATCGAAGGAAAAATGAAAAGCCGTGGATAACAATGAAAAGGGGTCGGATCCGCGATCGAAGAAACGAGAAATTACCGAGCACGTCGAGCGAAAGAAAGACGAGAACGACAACAAAAACACGGCAGTTCGCTTCGTCCGATTAATTGTTCGCCGATCTTTATCGCTAACGAACGCATAGAATTTCCAGCCGATCTACGAACAGAGAGAGAGAGAGAGAGAGAGAGAGAGAGACGACTATGGAAGCGTTATTATACTGTCTCCGCTACACGGCGCTGTTATTGTTATTGAGATAATTATCGGCCACGTATACGTGTAGGTTGTGGAACTCGTTTAAACTTTCTCGTTTTATCGTGATTACGTAAGTTATCGGGTGAGCTGTCGCTCCACGTGTCGATTGATTCCGACGGGAGCCGATGATACGAAATCGAGAAACACAGAGACTTCGACCCGTGGAAATTGCGCGCAGAGGGCTCGGCAACAACAACAACAACGACAACGACGAAACGAAACAAAAAAAAAAAAGATGCACGCAGGACGAACCAGCAAAAGGTCGGTGAACCGTTTCCATGCGCACGTCGTGCGGTGGTTACCGTCGTTGCTCGACCGAATACAACCCAATTACCCTGAATCCGTAATCGCCGTGCAAAAGTGTGAATCCCACAGTTGTGTTCAAGGTCGTCCCGCGGACTTATATAATGGGAGCTGTCCGAAATTGGATGAAAGATAACAATGCGGGAAGGCACGACCAATCGATACAGGCCGAGGCGACTCCGGCACGGCGAGTCCGAATTTTTTCGCAAAAATCGATGGGCTCGAAAGCGGCCCGCGAACAACGTTGTGCCGAATAAAACGGAACGGAACGATGCGACTGCGTTCGATCGGTCGTTCTCCCGATCCTTCTCTTTCTTCGATCACGCCGTCGGGAGCATCGACGACGATCTTTTTCTTTCGTACAATAGAT